AGTGGTGGGAACGGGGAGGGGTCCCCCTGCTGAGCGCACCTGGGGCCCCCATCAGCACCCCGCCAGGGATATCTGCGGGGTCGTGATGGGAGGGGGGTGCCTTAGTCGGGTGGGGGCTGGGGGGGGCAGCCGCTACCACCCACCGTGTTGGTGGAGCTCAGCTGCGACTCGTAATGAGAGGGTGACGGAGATCGTCTCCGCGTGGCGATTGCTCCAGCTGGAGTGGCGCTTCACGCGCGAACTGAGACGTGTATTTCACACGCGTGGGGCTTTCGGGACCAATATTAAGATTAATGATTGGTGTTTTGGGTCGCGTAAGAACAATTTGTGTCGTAAACCCTCCTCCACCTGACATGTGCCAATCTATGCCTGCTTCATCGTCATCGGCAGCAGCACGCCGGTGATGTTGTTGGAGAGTGATCCACACAAGTTTAACCATTGGGTGCGGACGTCTCGCTGGAAATCACAGCCAGCATCATCAGGCGTCTTGCCTGATGATGTGACCCGCAGTTTGCTGAAGCGATTTGACCCAAAAATGAATCTATTATCAATCGATCTAAGCGTGCTGTACTTGCTTATCACATCTCCACTCCTCGGCCAATCACAGAGAGCGTCTGCCCTGTGGTCTGCGTGTAGGGTTGGGTGGCTGGCGATTGCCCTGGAATGGAGCGGTGCGTGCTTATTGGTGTGTGTGTGTTGGTGTGTGTGTTGGTGTGTGTGTTGGTGTGTGTGTTGGTGTGTGTGTGTTGGTGTGTGTGTGTTGGTGTGTGTGTGTTGGTGTGTGTGTGTTGGTGTGTGTGTGTTGGTGTGTGTGTGTTGGTGTGTGTGTGTTGGTGTGTGTGTTGGTGTGTGTGTGTTGGTGTGTGTGTGTTGGTGTGTGTGTGTTGGTGTGTGTGTGTTGGTGTGTGTGTGTTGGTGTGTGTGTGTTGGTGTGTGTGTGTTGGTGTGTGTGTGTTGGTGTGTGTGTGTTGGTGTGTGTGTGTTGGTGTGTGTGTGTTGGTGTGTGTGTGTTGGTGTGTGTGTGTTGGTGTGTGTGTGTTGGTGTGTGTGTGTTGGTGTGTGTGTTGGTGTGTGTGTGTTGGTGTGTGTGTGTTGGTGTGTGTGTGTTGGTGTGTGTGTGTTGGTGTGTGTGTGTTGGTGTGTGTGTGTTGGTGTGTGTGTGTTGGTGTGTGTGTGTTGGTGTGTGTGTGTTGGTGTGTGTGTGTTGGTGTGTGTGTGTTGGTGTGTGTGTGTTGGTGTGTGTGTGTTGGTGTGTGTGTGTTGGTGTGTGTGTGTTGGTGTGTGTGTGTTGGTGTGTGTGTGTTGGTGTGTGTGTGTTGGTGTGTGTGTGTTGGTGTGTGTGTGTTGGTGTGTGTGTGTTGGTGTGTGTGTGTTGGTGTGTGTGTTGTTGGTGTGTGTGTTGGTGTGTGTGTGTGTGTGTGTGGTGTGTGTGTGTTGGTGTGTGTGGTTGGTGTGTGTGTTGGTGTGTGTGTGTTGGTGTGTGTGTGTTGGTGTGTGTGTGTTGGTGTGTGTGTGTTGGTGTGTGTGTGTTGGTGTGTGTGTGTTGGTGTGTGTGTGTTGGTGTGTGTGTTGGTGTGTGTGTGTTGGTGTGTGTGTGTTGGTGTGTGTGTGTTGGTGTGTGTGTGTTGGTGTGTGTGTGTTGGTGTGTGTGTGTTGGTGCGTGCTTATTGGTGTGTGTGTGTTGGTGTGTGTGTGTTGGTGTGTGGCGAGCAGTAGTGTAGCACTTGCCCCCTACAGTCTCACCGGCTACACGGGGGATCTTTGTCTTTATCCTGTGGGGGGGGGGGGGGGGCAGCGACTGCGTAGCGATTCGAACCCGGCGACCCGAGTGCGATTCCCGCTCACGGCCAACACCAGTGACGATTATCTGAACCGGTCCCGGGTCTCCCCTAGGACGACTCAGCCTGAAATGAGTACCTGGTGCGGTGTGTAAACATCGCCACTGGGGAGACAAAGGCGGTCTGGCGTGGTGCTGGCCACCCACCCCCTCGTGTGCCGTTCCGGCCTTCATAGGTGCTCGCTAACAGCACTTGCCCCTACAGTCTGTTAAGGCTATACGGGGGATCTTTCACTATTGGTCTGTGTGTGTTTGGCGTGCGTGTATGCGTCTTTCCCTATGCGTGGGCTCCTATGATAAACGTCGCTCTGTGTGTATGTTTATGCACACGTATGTGTGTGCTTATGCACACGTATGTGTGTGCTTATACACACTTGTGTGTGAATGTATGTTTATACACATGTGTGTGTGTGTGTGGTGTATGTGTCTACACACGTGTGTGTGTGTGAGAGTATTGGGTCGCTGGTCAAGTTCAATTTGCAAAGGCAAATGAAGTCTCCTCGGAGAAGATGATTTCTCGTTTCACGCTGCACCGGAGTGCCGCGCGCCCATTCACTTCCCCGTGCAGTCATTCCCCGTGCAGGGAGCGGCGGGGGGAGCGGCGGGGGGAGCGGCGGGGGGAGCGGCGGGGGGAGCGACGGGGGGAGCGGCGGGGGGAGCGGCGGGGGGAGCGGCGGGGGGAGCGGCGGGGGGAGCGGCGGGGGGAGCGGCGGGGGGAGCGGCGGGGGGAGCCCGAGGCTCGCCTCCTCCCATCTCCCACTTCTCCCCCTCCTCCTCCTCTGTTGCCTCTGAAAGGAATGGCATCTAAGACCTCACGTGGGGTTATTCGTGTTTCATGGCTTTGCCACACACGTGTGTGCGTGTGTGTGTTTATACACACATACACACGTGTGTGCGTGTTTATACACACACACACACGTGTGTATGTGTGTGTGTGTTTATACACACGTGTGTCAGCGTGGGTGATTCGTTTGCCGCTCATGACCAATGACACTGGTGAAAATATGAACTTGTCCTGGGCCTCCCATATGTCGGTGTGTAAACATCGCCACTGGAGAGATGACGGCGGTCGGGCGTGGTGCCGGCCACCCAACCCCCCCTCGTGTGTGGCACCGGCCTTTGGAGGTGCTCGCGAACAGCACTTGCCCCAACAGTGTGTGAAGGATATCAGGGTGGTCCTAGTCGTTGATGTACACAGACAGGTAAATGCTGCCACAGTGATAGAATCGTTTTCATTCTGCACCTGCACTGCGGAGGTCGCCGGTTCGATTCGATCTCCTGGCGTGGCAGGTGACACGACGGGCAGGTCTATTAAACCCGAATATCAACTCCAAGGCGAAGGTGCAGCAGGGTGGGCGGAAGGGGGGGGCAGGGGCTGGTGCGCACCACGTGCGCCGAGGAGGCAGACATCGTTGGCAGATTTAATTGGATTTGGTGCCGGGGCTCACTGAGCATGCGGCTCGCGTCTTCACGCCGCCCACTCCGCGAGGCCTCCACGCGAGATGGGACACTGCTTGGCTTCTCCTTTCACTGTACTCTCTGCTCTCTCTCCCTCTCCTCTCGCAGTCTCCCTCCCTCTCACCTCTATACGCTCTATCTAACCTCTCTATACGCTCTCTCTCTCACAGTCCCAATCCCACTCGCCCACCAGTCTCCGATTTATTCTGCCTCTCTTACTCCATCTCACTCGGTATCATTTCGACTCGCCCCCTCTCTCGCTCTCGTCCTTCCTGCCCTCCCATATCTCTCCCTTCTCTCTCTTGCACTCTGCTCTCTATTCCCTCTCTCCGCTCACTTCCTCTGTGAGAAGGTGGTAGGGGGGGAGGGGCCCTTTCCCCACACCTGCAAACCATCAGGCCGCATGCCCCACCGATGGATAGCGGATTCCAGCGCTGGCCAGGAGACGACCCAGCCATCACAGAACCACCACCAGCCCCGCTCTTCCCTGCCCCCCCCCTCCCCATCAACAATCGCCGTGCACTGTCGCTCCCGCTCTCTTCTCTCCACATGAAAACTTCTTCCACTCTGGTGGAGACGCAACGCAGGAGATGGAGCTGAATCCGCGGGATGGATCTCATGATTCCGTCACGTGTCGCCCCGCGCTCACATTCAGCTGTGAAGGGGACTTCTTCCTCTTCCAGTCTGAACACAGCGGAATACGAATAGGGATCAATTCTTAACGCCTTGCACACTTCTCCCCCGTGAGCTGCTGCGTGTGATGGAGGGGCATGGTGGTGATTGTGGGGGTGGTGCTGATGAGGTGGTGGGGGTGGTGGGGGTGGTGATGGTGGTGCTGGTGAGGTGGTGGTGGAGGGAGTGGTGGTGATGGGGTGTTGGTATGAGAAAGGGTGTTGTTGGAGGGGATGTTGGTGGTGGGGGTGGTGCTGATGAGGGGGTGGCGGTGGTGGTGGTCATGGTGGGGAGAAAGGGGAGGAAGCTTCGTTGGGCACCGGGATTGGAACTCATGCATTGTTTGTGCTCTCAGCTCTCAGAGGAGACACAGAGTTGTTCTGATAATCGCTGCTCAAAACGGCATCTTCCTTAATGCATTGTAAACAAAACAAATACCATGCTGATATAATTACAATGCGGGCCCACTGCACAATGAATCCGGCCATCCGAGTTTGAATCCTGGCCACGGCTACCATCAGTGGTGAGCGATATCTGAACCTATCCTGTGCCGCCACCCTCCCAATGAACCAACGCGGCGAAGTATGGTCAGACAAACCCGTGACTGACACGGAGTGTGAGGATGCCTTCATCCAGCAGTGGATTGATGCGAATGTGATTATTATATCACATTCGGGGTGTCGCGGTGGCGAGATGTTACCTGCCTTGCCTGGTATTCAAGAGGTCATGGGTTTGATCCCGACCCTGACGCCTGCTCTATATTTGGAGTTTGAATGTCTCTCTCTCCCTGGTTCCGTTGATTTTTCTCCGGATCCTTCGGGTTTTCCCTCCACATTTAGAATCAACGTGCGTTTCGAGTATTTGGCTGCTATAAATGTCCACGTAATAAGCCACTTCATTGGGCTATAATTTGTGATAGCAAGGTCGTTTCTGAAAAAGAGCTGCACAGCTCAGTGGGCTTGACCTGGTAAAATAAGAACTAGTTTAGTGTCATAGGCCGCTAGAGCGCTGCGATATCATTTTGCTTTTGCAGACAACAGCTGCCCGAGGAGCGGGGGGCCAGCGACGGGGGGCCAGCGACGGCCCTTTGGGGCTCTGCACCTCCTGTCAGCTCGGCTTGCCGTGATCGCCGGACAACGAAGCTCAGGTGAGCACGGTCAACACAAAACAACCTCCCTTATTTATTTGATTCCATCTCATTCGGCGTATAAATAATAATAATCCGCCCGTGACCCCCTCGTGACCCCCATCCCCCGGCGCCCGCCCACCCGCCCGCCGAGGCCCGCCGAGGCCCGCGTTGCTGAGCGCGGCGGCGGGAGTGGGAACTCACGACGCCCCAAATCTCATCGTCACCGCGTTCGGCGACGCAAATTTCGCAGGAAGCGCCCATCCTCGCCGATTACCCGCGGCTGGCGAGCCCGCGGTGCGGCGGGGCGCTTATTATTATTATCACTGCCTCCGGGCTCTCTCGTTACGTTATTGGTGCTCGTTATTTATGTACCGCACACGCCGCGGGCGCGGGCTGTGCCCTGGGAGCTGTGTGCGTTGTTGTTGTGTGTGGGGGGGAGAGGGGGTGGCTGCCTAGGTTGGCAGTGGTGCAGCCACCTTGGATGCCGTGTCTAGTGATGACAAAGATATACTCAGTAGTGGGGGTAGCCTATGGAAAGACTCGCCCCCGCCATGAGAATGTGGACTTTCCATCACTGACTTAGGGCAGGGCTGTTAACAGGAGATGAGCACCAACGCCCCACTGCTCATCAGGGCAGGGAATCTATTGGACTTTCGTTGGTTTTGGAATCCACGTGGTCCTCCCTTCAAGCAGGTGACATGGTCACTGATTGCACTGGCCACAGATTGTTTACACAGAGCGCACGAGCGGCAGACTCAGTCGTCAGACAGTAGCCAGCATCTGCGTGGACTTCAAATTAATAATAATCACGCTTCAGCAAACCGCGTTGAGGGACGAACCTCGTGGATCTGGTCTCCAATCTGGCCAAGAGCCACCGGGAGCCATCGGTCAGGTCGACTCCAGCAGCGAGCACGGCGACTGTGCCCGCAGTGGATGGCACCGACTGTGCCCGCAGTCGGTGGCGCCGGTGTAGAGCATGCCGGGAGTTGCCCCCGGGCCACGTGCACGGGGCACGTGCACAGGGCACGGGGAGGATGCAGAGAGCGCGCAGGGGCAGGCCAGGGAAGGGCACCATGCAAGTACGAAAAATCTCAAAGTGTCTGTGGTGTCGTCTTCTAAAAAGTCCACTGCCTTCTAAAACATTTGGGGGACAACTGGCCCTTCCTCCCGCCCTCCCCCTGCCCCTCCCCGCTGCTCCTCCCCCCTGACCCTCCCCCCTGCACCCCCACGCCCGGGGCACGCCTGCCTTGCGGGAGGCACCACTGCGCCTCGCGAATGCAGTGTCACATTGCTGACGGGCCACCACTGCCAGGAGAAATGAGCGCTGAGCCACTCTCCACTGATTAAACTCGGTAATAGCGGGGGCAGGGGGAGCGGTGTTGTGAGAGCCGCGTTCACCCCCCACGCCCCCCTCCCGTCCTCCACGCTCTCCAGCCGACAGCAATCTATTTTGATTGCATCGCAGAGTGGCAGTTTGGGTAAAAAAAACGTTTAGGGGAATTTCATCATAGCCGAGTGTTTGTATTAATGGCCTTTCTGCAATTAGGCGCCAATAGGTGTCCTCACAATAATTGCCGGTTTTAAGAAACGTAATGACAGCGCCGAGCAGAGTGCCATCGTGAAGCAGCCCCTGAGCCCACGGCCAGCGAGCCCACGGGGCCATCACGACCTCCACTCATACCGAGACTCGGAGACACACGCAGAGAGAGTCGTAGACTCTCACACACATCCATAGGCTTACACAGAGATCCGTAGACTCGCACAGAGATCCATAGACTCGCACAGAGATCCATAAACTCGCACAGAGATCCATAGACGCACACAGAGGTCCATAGACTCGCACAGAGGTCCATAGACCCACAAAGAGATCCATAAACTCGCACAGAGATTCATAGGCGCACACAGAGATCCATAGACGCACACAGAGGTTCATAGACGCACAGAAAGATCCATAGACGCACAGAGATCCATAGACGCACACAGAGGTTCATAGACTCGCACAGAGATCCATAGATGCACACAGAGATCCATAGACGCACACAGAGATCCATAGACGCACACAGAGATCCATAGACGCACACAGAGATCCATAGACGCACACAGAGACCCATAGACGCACACAGAGATCCATAGACGCACACAGAGATCCATAGACGCACACAGAGATCCATAGACGCACACAGAGATCCATAGACGCACACAGAGATCCATAGACGCACACAGAGACCCATAGACGCACACAGAGATCCATAGACGCACACAGAGATCCATAGACGCACACAGAGATCCATAGACGCACACAGAGATCCATAGACGCACACAGAGATCCATAGACGCACACAGAGATCCATAGACGCACACAGAGACCCATAGACGCACACAGAGATCCATAGACGCACACAGAGATCCATAGACGCACACAAAGATCCATAGACGCACACAGAGATCCATAGACGCACACAGAGATCCATAGACGCACACAGAGATCCATAGACGCACACAGAGATCCATAGACGCACACAGAGATCCATAGACGCACACAGAGATCCACAGACGCACACAGAGACCCATAGACGCACACAGAGATCCATAGACGCACACAGAGATCCATAGACGCACACAGAGATCCATAGACGCACACAAAGATCCATAGACGCACACAGAGATCCATAGACGAACACCACCAGCAGGTCGCGACAGTCTAAAGTACCATGGACAGCGATCCCCCCACAAGCGGCGGGCTCGGCCAGCCTGTGGCTGTCGAGTGACACCGTGCCCACGTGGGTGTCCGCGGGTTGGAGTAGAACACGCGGAGGAGTGGCAATGGGACGTGGTGGGGAGTTTTTTTACGAAGTATGGTGGAGCGTGGTGGAGCGTGGTGGAGCGTGGTTGAGTATGAATAGAGCATGGTGTATGGAGCGTGTTATGGTGCGGTAGAATTCGATGGAGCGTCATGGAGCGTGGTGGAGCGTGGTGGAACGCCCGGTCGATGCAAGCGCGTCTGTGAGGTTGTGAACTCGGGGAGTCACTGCTGCGTTCATGGCACCGTGGCGCTGGAACAAATTCATCCACACATTCGGCAACGTTTGGAAACGTTAGACTGTCAGGCTGTACGTTCCGGATGTTACCAGACCAGCATCATCGCCTGAAGTAAAGCAATGTTAAGTCTGACAGCAGCAGTCTGTCATGTATCCATGTGCGTATGCGGCGACACAGCATTACATGAGATATGCGTGTGTGTATGTGTACCTGCGTGTGTATCTATGTGTGCCCGGTGTGATGTATACACATCACAATTGGGGAGACAAAGGTGGCCGGGCGTGATTCTGGCCACATCACCCCCCCCCCTTTGCTGCCGCTACCAAGTTGACTTCTTCACCGCCCAGCCATGGCTTTAACACAACGATCAGAATCTCGGTTTCACGCGAAACAGTTCGCTCGTCACCGACCGCTGTAATTGGCCACGGAATCGCGAGGAATCCCCAGAGAGGGGCCCCCGGGACTGTCCCAGAGGCGCGGCCCCTAATTGAACCCCCCGTTGGGCGATCCCCTCCCTCGATCCCTGTGAATCGGCGTGACCCCGCAGACTGCTCTGGGTGATGCCGAGAGTGGCGCAGACGCCGCTGTTTGGGTCCGAAAATGGAAGTGGCACGGAAATGCATGGGAAGCAGGGGGGGGGGGGTGTATCGAGATGGGGTTAGGTGTACAGACACAACGATGAGGGTCAGGGATACATTTTTGGATTTGAAATAGAGTAGGCTTAAGGTTAAGAGTAATCTAGTTAGGTTTGGGATAGTATTAGCGATAGGGTAAGTGTGTGGGCTTGAGATTGGGGAGCGGGGGGTGTAAAGGTTAGGAATAGAGTTAGGGGTGCAGTTCGGGCTGTGGGTGGGAGTGGCTTTAGGCATCAGGCTGTGAGTATAATGAGGGCTCGAGCGTGAGTGTTGACGTTGGGGAGAGGCAGGCGGTGTTGGGGTTCACGGTCGAAGTCGCCTGCAGTCTGCGTCACTGCGTCTCGCCGCGTCACCGCTCCTCCCGACTGCTGCCCCGGTGAGCACGAGGGGTCTCTCCGCCACCGTTCGTGTTTTGTTGATGACAACACGACGTCACACAATTTATTAGTCTTTTTTTTATTACTTTAGTATAAATACATGTTTACTTTGATTCATATGTTGCTTTTTTAAAGACACAAATTCGCACGTTTTCTCGTTGAAAATTGCTGATTTTCAAAATAGCATTGTCCTGGTCACAAACGCAAAGTTTGTGGGGAATAATAGCCACTTTATGTACTTTTGAGGCATATACAATTAGTAAATAACATTTACTATGAACAAAAAAAATGTGTTAGTGTAATTGCACCAACCCTTGGGGGAATGGCGGGGTGCGTGGTGGGGGGCGGGGCCTGGGAGGGGGCGGGGCCTGGGAGGGGGGGAATTCTCTGACAGGCGCCCTCGTGCGCTTCTTTTAAAGCTCCCTTCAGTGATCGGCCCCATGGAGCCCGCGCTGCTGCTGCCACCGCCGCCGCCGCTGCTGCTGCTGCTGCCGCGCGCCAACCCACGCGGCGCCGCGTAATTAATGACCGTCAGGTGTTCGCGTAATGAGTGCCCCTTGAAATTTGCGGGGCTATGCGCGCGGTGACATTTAATTTTCCGGAGCAGATGAGACCCGTGGTGGGGTGTGGGTGCCGTGTCGGTGAGGTGGGGGTGGGGGGTGATGGAGGGGCTTCTCTTTGGAGCATTTCCCACGATGGCCTCACACAGCGCACGCCAGAGGGCCGCATTAGCTGCCAGAGCTCACGCGGGTTCATGGCATGGGGGACCTTGAGCTTGAGGACGCCGCCGCTGCCGCCGCCGCCGGTGGTGGTGGCGGTGGTGGCGGTGGTGGTGGAAACTAAACGAGAGGGAGGTGGCTGCTCTCCGGCCACGGCCACGGCCGCAAAGGTAGAGATCCCCCGTGTAGCCTTAACAGACTGTTGGGGCAAGTGCCGTTAGCGAGCACCTATGAAGGCCGGCACGGCA